TGAGGAAGAGCAGTTGATTAGTCCACGAAAACACATAACTTGCTGCTGTAAGTAGACTTGATTAAAAAAATATATATATAATATTTAAGCAAGATATAACTTACTTTTTAGAAAAGGCATATTATAATGACAGAAATAATGGCGGCACTTTGGCTTGAACTTCGCAACTACATTGCAAGTAGGCTAACTACTGTGTAAGGCAAAATAAGTAGCGATCATAATGACTGTTAGTTTTACTGATTACTTCATTTTAAGGAGAAAGGATAAGCCTACAGCCAAGAAAAAGGCCTTTTATGAGGCCCTTAAATAGGGCCAATATATAAGAATTAAAGAATAGCTTAAATAAACTTTCCAGAAGGGATAATTTATTAAGTACCCGCAGCTTCTCGTCAAGGAATATGTGTGTGTAGAATAGTTGATCGTCTTCATCATCTTTTATCGATTTGTAGCTAATCATTTGAAGAAGATCACCAGCAGGACCCATAAAACCACCGGAGTTCAAGAAGCGTTTCTCGTACTCGCCCACGGTTGGGTACTTGTCCTAAAATTCAACAGAACCAGACGAAATACAATTGAAACAGAATCTCGTGTAAAAGATGAGGGCTTTAGAGTAAAGTATAAGTAAAAAATATACAAATAGAGCCGTATAAAAGGAGATAAATGAAAAAAGTGAATTAGGATTTTATATTTTATATTCGGACAGCCAGTTTAACAGTCAGATAAGCTTACACTCAAGGAGCTAGTTGACTTTCCTAATAAAGCATATTCACGGTGATATCCTACAATATTATCAACTCTTATGATTGGATAGAAGTTGTTTGACCTTGTTTTCGCAACATGGTCATATTGGTAGAAAGACTTAGGGGAACGCACCTAGTCCGAAGTTCATTGTCTGCATGATCATTTCCAACGTTGAATCCTGGACGTGGTACATTCCCAAAAGTTTCGCCCGCATCGTCAGCGAATATCGCCATTCTTAGCACCGTACAACAACTCGTCAAAGAGACAAGTGAAGCCAATCCTTTGACCAAACGTGTGCTAAACAATTATGTTATCTCTCCTTCTACCCTGGGTTATTCGCGTTTCCGGTAGCATCCTATCATGCCTTCACTATTACAATTTTTACCGTGTTTATT